TTTTATTAGCATAACTGTACAAGTGCAATTAAACTAATGAAGTTTTTACTGAAAGAAGTCTGCTGCCCATGTGTTCCCACTGGAATAAAGACTTTTTTAATTTTTATTTTATTTTTTAAATTTAGGCTTGCCATAGTAATTCAGATAAAAGCTAAACTTAGAAGGAAAGGGAATCAGGGGGGTGGAAATTCATCAGGATGAGTGCCCATAATATGAAGACTCGCAAAGAAGTTGACAACTGATTTCTGCTCTTAGACCTTCTCCACGTGAAGGAGCATTACAGCTCTCTTCATGCAGCCCAGTCTACAACTGTATTTAAAAACAAACTAATGCTCCTAACAATTATTTTTTGGTGTTTTTCTGTTTCCACTAAGAGGAAATATTAAAAACAATACATCAAGTAATTGGGAGACTTCTTAAAATTGAATATGTGGGGGATTCATTGCGAAATGAAAACAAAAGAGCATGCTCTTTAGCCCTTGTATTGTAGGGCCTTAAATGGTTGATGGTTTTCAGTGATGTCCATGCATCACTCCTGATCTTTTTTACAGCTCTACTTACGAGGATCTCGGTGCAATACTGAAGTACTTCCTATCCTACTACTCCATTCTGATTCTTTGGGAGGAAAAATGGGAGCTTGCCCAAAAATCCTCTCTCGTTTCCCTTTCTTTCTTGAAATCCTTCCCTGCTTTCCGTTTTAACTTTGTCACATTGTTTGGATTAGGACAGATTAAGTTTTAAACAACCTCCATACCAGCAAAGGGAGGCACAAGCCTAAAGGGGTTTGTCATGTGCAGTTGCTATGAAAGCTCCAGCTCACTTGGGCTGTAGTGTGCGGTGACCAGTAGTGTTTATTCTTCTATTTCTGTCTTCCAGCCTCTACTCTTTTCAGTATTTTGGGAACAAAATAGGGAACTGAACTCTTTAGAGGCTGAGAGTTACAAGCACGTTTATTTATCTTAACTATCTGTAGGCATTGGTGAGGAATCTCTTACCTGGTATTCCCACAGATGAGAATCAAAATTGCTCTGTCTACTAGTCCTGAGCCCCCAAATCAGCACCCCTCTTTGTTAAGTAGGAGCTGAAGAGCCCGGGTGGCTGTGTTGATAGTCTGGTTTTCCCCAGCCCCCTGTCTTCTCCTGGGTGAAGTTTGGAGGGCAGCTTGGTTCCATTTTTGCGCTGTGCTTAATAATGTGAGACATCTTTATAGCGCTCTAATATGATCAGCTGCAGGGGTAGATGAGGAAAAAATAACCAGAAGAGTTAAATTCAGTCCCTTCAATGAAGTGATTTGAAGTGATTTATCACCAGCCATTTTTTAAGGGAGGCATAAATTACATGTTTACACATAAGTTTAATGTACGTGTTCTCTTACATCATAGCTGTGGATCTTTTTCAGGTAGGAAAAGTTACACTTCCTTTTCTGGTAACCAAAAAGCTACTCGTATATTTGATTTTAAGATTGGGCTGCCTCAGAAGAGATATTTTGGGGACTATTTAAAAAAAACCATAACCTTAGCTATCCATTTCTCCAACAGCTAATATTTTTTCAGGTAGGGCGCGTGTGCTCAGTGTTTTATATTTATAGGAATTTATAGTATATTTATAGGAAGTCATATCTCTTATGGTGGCACTGCAGATTAAAATTAATAATGAAAGTGTAAAGCAAGTACCCTATTTTATATTTTACAAGCATCTTTTTTTCAAAGAGCTAATACCAAATTTTCAGAACATGGTAAAGTTATAAGTATTTTAAGAATGTAATTTCTTGGCGCTTCAAGACAGCGGTAAGCCTCTTGAATAATAAAGTAGTAATATAATTTTTATTTCTGCAGAATACTGCTTTATGGAATTTCTGTGACAAGGCCTATTGAGAAGTTCAGACCTGCTTAGTTTTCCACGAAGTACCTCTTGCTGCATCCTGAAAATTATTTAACTAAAACATAATATATGCAGAGTTATGACCTAAAAATTAGGAAGCAGCTATATGAAGGTTGCTCCCATGGTTGTAGTTCAGCACTTGCTGCATCTTCGTGTTGCTAAAGCCTCAAACTACATCACTGTACACCGTTCATTCTGCAGGAAACCTGTCTCCTTCAGTGCTAAAGACAGACGTACCACATTGCAAAGAGGGGGGGACACGAAGAAAACACAACATTCTTTTTCAGCTCAGGGGATGAGAGTGGGTTGCCAGAGCAGTAAGTTCTGCTCTCTTATACCACGTGCATGCAAGAGGGGAGAACTCTGGAGGGCATATTGCTTCTGACACTGCTAATTTATTTTTTTTTTTGAATGCTTAACTTCTAAAGATGAATTTGTGTTTATTGTAATTCTTGTATGTGATAAAAGGTGCCTTAAAAGTTAACCATCGAAACAGTAGAAGTATTTTTAAAATAACAGAAGTCAGTATCTCAAAGTGGAATAAATCAAAGCACATTTTGTTGTGTTCACTTGTGTCACAGTTTAGCCTTATGACTGTGTAGCCTCTTTCTTCCATTATACGTGAAGACTGCTAAAGATGGCTGATGTTTAATTTTTACAATATAACTTGACGTGCCTTTTGGTTGTGTTGGGCATCAGGGAAGTTAAGTAAAATTTCTTATTTGGAGCAAAGGGTACATGACCTTTTGTCTGTCAAATTGGATGCACTTTATTTTGTACTTAAGATATTTTTTTTTCAAGTTGCTCTACCCTTTTTCAAGACCCTTTGCTTTTCAGTTGGAGTTTAAAAACACAAACAGATTCGTCTTATTCAAGCATTATGATATAAATAAAATTACTTATTGTTTATTTTCTTCATCTTTGAGAACAAACGAGAATATAAACAGAGGAAAAAAAAAAAAAAATCCTACTATGTGAGATTGCTTCCCATATGTCCAGGGAAAGGAAGAAAGATGCATACAAATGTTTAGCATGTGCAAGTTTTCTTGGTGCACGATTGGTTCCCTATTTAGGAGTGGAATTCAGTGAAATAGGACACCTCTTTTAAAAACAAAGAGTAAGCACACAACAAAGGATAAGTGATCAAATGATTAGCCAGAGGCTAATAGGAATGCAAGGGAAGAGTGACAGATTGCGTATTAGGAGGAAATCTGATCTGGAAATTAATTTGAAGCTTTCTGCAGCTGAGGCTGTAAGAGAACTAATCTTGAAATCTTTCTGAAGGACATATATGTATGTGAATTCGACTTGCTTGTGTATAAAGAATAATACAAGAAAGGTGACTAATGGATAAATGAAGTTGAATTATAATTTAGAGGAATCTACCTCCCCCCTCTCCCTAATTTTTAAAAAAATCTGTCTTTGCTTAGGATGAAATATGCATCTGCCTGTAGCTTAGTGTGAGAAATTCTGTTAATTTACTTACAAATTCTGGTGATTTAGAAATACACATGTTGTAGGGTTCTCTGTGGTTGAATCTACGTTCTGTTGTATGCAAATAGGAGAGTAAAATCAGAACAGCTGATAAATATCTCACCAGACACAAATCAACAGCTACATGTTAACAGGGAAATATACTTGAATACTGGAGAAAACAGAGCTTTTAATTATGAAGAAGTGAATATTTTCTTATTTAGTGCCCTGCCAAATGGTTTTAATTTAACCTTGCGGTAGGTAGATGTCACTTTGTATTAATAGAATTCGCTTTTTTTATAGAGACCACATTCCCTTTCTGCAAAATTTAACGTTAACTGCTGTAATAGAGTAGTATCTGAGTCCATGCATTTTTTAATGTTCAAAACATTCCTTTAAAAAAACCCACACAAAACCCAAGCAAACTTATTCAAAAATCAGTTTATGTAAGCTTGCTGGTTTACCTTTTTAAAATTTATGCTTCCATTTTAAAACATTAATAAATAAACCATGATAAAATTCTAGAGAATTAATAAATACAGAACAGTAAAATTTGAATACAACAAATGAACTTTTGTCAAGCTTTAAATGTAACTAAACTTTTGTTGGCACATTACTAAAATTGCTGCTGAAGGTTGGTAATGAGTTTTGTGTAGGCTTTGATATTCACTGAAGTTGTTGTAAAGCTTGATTTTTCTAAGTAATTTTCTGCTGATTTTTTTTCATATAAATACTTGCTGCTTGTGCAAAAGAAAAACATTATGTGAATAGCATGTGAAGGTATCAGATTAGTATAAGTTGCAATTTTTTAAGAAATCCTCTCATTTATGCCTTTGATAATTTCATATAGTAAAGGAGAAAAGTGATACAGTGAAGTAGCTTTTGGATTTATGTGTATGTATCACTGCTTTCTTCTGAATAGAATTACAAATGCTTAATTTCAAGTCAACACTCCTGTAAGAGTAACTAGCATTTTCTCTTCTGGTTCAGAGTTCCTGTGTAGCTTTGCACTTTATGTTGTTGTTGGGATCTGCTTGGTGGTGGGTTTAGCACGAGAAATGGAGATCTGTCACTGATAATCCTCTTACCTCCAAGAGGCAAACCATCCAGTAGATAAAGAACCTTTCAAATCTTACTTTTGTCTCTAAATTTCTGGCATAGATTTATTTAGTGCAACGGCGATTGAGCAACAATAAAACCTCGGTCTTTAAAAAAACACCTATTGATAGAAACAGATCTTATTATTTACTCTTGTCATTAACATCTTATAAAGAGTAAAGAGGAAGGAGAAGTGCTGCAGCCTTGTAGACTGTCTTTAGTCTGTAGGTCCATAATCCCAGCTAAAAGGTCAGGCCAGTATTTTATATTGTTTTGCCTTTTAATCCTTTGGATTATGTTTTCCTTGCTTCGAGACTCACGTCGTAACAGTCTCTTTGGAGGTATTGGCTAACATCAGTACAGAACTCGGGGATTTGCAACTATTTTTAAAGGAAGTATATGAGAAAATAAATTCTGATTCTGGTGCCATGGTGTCTAATGTACAGCTGAGGTGTTGCCGTCATAACCACTCTGGTTAAGCCATGCTAATTGTTACAAACAGAGATAGGGGTATTGCTTTACTGTGTCTGTTCTGCTTCTGTTTGCAGCGATGTCATCTTACCTTTTAATCGTGAAGTCTGAACTTCCTGGTGCTGTTGCGGGGTTTTTGAGTGGAAACGAGAGTGGGTAAGGACAAATGCTTCATACATTCTGTATTGGTTTTGAAGAAGAAAGCGGTTTGGGACTGCTGGAGGAGATGGGTGCAGACAGTTCCCTCTGATCTCACATGCTAAAAAAATCAGTTATTTACAGGAGCTCCTGGGGTATGAAATGTATTTGGCATGTGCAAGCCGCCTGCAGCACACACACGCAGAGTGTGATTCTTTCCTCTTAGCAGCTTCCTATCAGACGACCTTAAAGGCAAAACTCCATCTACAGAAATAACCATTCTGTAAAAATTTGAAAGGGGAAGCAAGAGGGGACAGGAGGGAAAGGAGGAGAAACATTTAAACTGCTGTCATGTTATCACTTCACATATTTCAAAACCACGGTACAAAAACCAGCAGACATTTAAATTTAAATATTTTGTTGTCTTGCTCCAGTAATTGGACTTGTCTTGGGAAAAATGCCAGGTTTCCAGACTTGGTTTATAATTCTGTAACTTGGCTCCCAGTAAAAAAATTACTCTTCGCCGTTGAGCTATAAAGCTGTATGAAAGGAATGTGTCCCTCAGATTTCTATCAGAACTGTCACAAGAAATCTGGGCCTGTCCTAAGACAAACACTGCAGCTTCTGCACAGAAATACCTTGTTTGAGTTGTTCCAGTGCTGCTGTCATTCACAACAGCCGATCTTAGATTGTGAGATTGTGTTACGGCTGTTTCTCCAGACTGCTATTTTCAGATGTTTTGAGCTCAAAACTTTCTCTGGATTGAAATGTGGTGAAACTGTCTAAAGGCTGTGTGATGCTTGTATTATTCCTGAGTGTTGTGGGTGAATTTTAGGTTTGCAATTAGTTTTTTGAAGGGTACTTTAATTAATTTTTTTATGAATTACAGCTTTTCCATTTTATAATGAACATTTTGAGAAATAAAGTGAGGTGGTAATCTTGCTTTCTGTCTTTCTGCTACCCTGGCCCTTGCAATAATATGTTTTTAGGAAGGGGCCTTTTTTTTTTTTCTTTTTTCCTTTCTTAATTATTATGTATGTTGCTTTTAGTCTGCTGATACATCTCTTCCAGCTGTGGTAGTCATCAGCTTTTTCTTCAGGTGCTTTCACCTTCTCCTTCAAGATCATGCTTTTAAATCCACTGTTCATAGCCAGTGGCGTTGAGCCCGCTGCTGTATCTGCTGCTTGTCTCTTCCAGTCCGTCTGTCCCCAAATTTAGCATATAACATCACTTACTACTGTGTTTAATTTTATGTCAGCTCTGTTTATGCAAGTGACTTGTACCAACAAAGATAGGCTTTTGAACAAACAGCTTATGAAAACTCACTTTAGGTAGAATCTGGAGGTCCCGTATGCGTGCATACTGCTCAAAGGATTGGTCTGTGTAAAAAAAGCAGTATAAACAACTTCTTTATGAAGCTGCCTAATTTGATAACCCTCCCTCCAGCCTTAGCTGTTTGTCAGGGTGTTCTGGATGTGAACACTGGTGAGCACAGACAGGTTACAGGGCTTGACCTGGTTATTACAAGTCCTCTGAGCCATCGTCATTCGCAGTGCTGCCACCATCCATACGACTTCCTTGAATGCAATTACAGTTTGAGATGGGAACGAAGCTCAATTTTGCATTTAGAGGGAGCTGAAGCTGGCCATAGGAATACTGACCACAGCTGAAGCGGTGAGCTGATTGTCAGTCTGAGCCTCCCCCTGTTTCTGCCTCTCTTACTGGGAGTTGTTCCATTGATAAACGTTTATTTGACACAACACAACTCCCCAGTTCTGTGCCCGAGCGAATGTCTCAAATGCAGTGGTCAAGCAGTGTTCCAGGTACGTGCACACAGCCGACCTCCTCTGAGTGCCCACATCTGTCTTTAATAGATTTTGCCATATTAATTGCCATGGTAGATCATAATCTTTTGTTTCTGTGCATTTCTTTGCAGATGTTAAGAGTAGTTTTTTGACTAACGGCGTTTTTGTATTGTAGGAAATTGTTCGACAAAAATAGGTAATCAAATATCAGGCCTAAGTAGCAATTTATTTATGTAAAGGGCATAAATATTGACTAGTTTAATCAAACTTATGTAATTGGACCACTTGTTTCCAGATGTCCTTGCACAACTGTTCTGTTTTTGTTAAGTCATTGTAGCATCTGATACGCTTTCATTTGGGTGCAGAATTTATCTTTAACTGTAGTTAGAATGTATCAAAAGTGTCAGTTAAACTAGCTGTTGAAAATATTTTATATACATAAACCCTCTCAAGCCATACATTTGGAAAAGCCATTTAGAGAACGTTTTGTGCATGGAATGGCTTTTATAGGTAAAGGCTAGCAGGTGTGTGTGTGTTAGAAAGGGTCAGAGCCAGTGTGTAACACATCCTAATACATCTTCATGTCTTTATTAAAAAACAAAAACAAAGACAATACGAACATTTGTTAATTGCTAGTTGAGATGTTTCAGTCTGTCTGCAGAACAAGAATTCCACATAGTCTTGATGACATGAACATAGTTTCAAATGAGGATTGTGTTAAGAAGTTGTAATTTGTGAGCCCTCTGTTAACATTTAATGACCCTGTCAGGAGGATATGATTGATGCAATTAAGTTGTCTTGCTTGTGTGTTATATAATTGATATGGACTGAGAGTAAGATCCTAATTTAGAACATATGAATCTCTTGTCCTGTTGCGTTCAGAAATGAAATTAAAGCGATTTATAAATGTCTGCTTTTAGTTAAAATATGGGGGAGGGAGGAGGAACATCTGCATGCCAAAGCATTTTCAGTAGAGTCAACGATTTATATTCCATAGTTCATATTTGGAACGCTTTTATCATATAGGATTAAATTTGCAGATCAAACTGATTTTAAAGGCAATATCAAAACATCTATTCTGAATTTGAAACAATGGTATTTTGAGAAAGAATGGACGTGGTTTTGGTAACTGTAAACGATCCACTATTCAGTTTTTTGAGACTATTTTAAATAAAAGAATCGGTATTCTAAAATGAAGCAGTTTACAAAATTATTTTTTCTCCTTCTCGTCACATCATTGCAGTTTTCCTCTCTTTTCCTCCCTCCCTCCCAAATGGTGTTTCATTTGCCATAAAGTAACCAAAATAATTTTTTTTCCCTGTCCTGCTGAGCTTGTGGGTTTGCTGCATCCTTACAATTGGGAGACGTGAAACAGAGGTCCCACGAGTACTGCAGCATTCGTTATACTTCTGCCTACCACTGTGCTGCTGTTCCTCCCACTCTGAACATCCACCATGTGAGAAAGACAGGAAAAGCTTAAAAATACGTGAACGCTGAATGATACCAATGTACAGAACACCACAGCAGGGAGCTGACCTTGGCAAAGGTGCTTTTTCACTGTAGCAGTAGCAGACCTAGGTTAGTTACACATTTTTTTGAAGAGTGATATATTTTGAGTAATTTTTAATACAGACATTGTCACTTAAGTGTTACTTTGATTTTGGTAGGAGGATGCCCTCAACCTTGAAATGTCTCTGTTTGTATTGCATATTTTTTCAAATGAGTGACAGTAGTGGTTGTCCATGGTGTATGACAGTAGTTAATAAATGTATATGGTAATTTTTCTTTAACACAGGTGTTACTCTACTTTCTTTATGATAACTTGAGGTGCTGCCTGTTTATTAGGTGCTAACCATATCCTGGACTAAATAAACTTGAAGTTCAAAGGGCAAGGTGTTTATAGGTAGTAAAGTTGGAGGCTGATGTGCAAGATGTTTATCAGTGCAGAGTATGCTTATTACCAAGTCAGGGGGAGCCACCCTCAAGATGTTTGTGTTTCTTAACAGCTTATCCAGCTGTACTTTCCTTGCTTTGGAGATGAGATTTTTATGCTTAGAACAGCTTTTAAATGCCTCTACAACGTTGTGGGGTTTTTATACGCATAGTTTTATGTTTAAACATTGCAACAGATTTCATTATTGTAACTTCCATCCCTTCTGTCCTTTCATTCTTGTGTAAGAATGAGTGATCACTTTGTGCAGAGTTAAGAAAGTCCTCTTTATTTCTGTACTTTCATTTATCACCTCTGGACAGCCAACATGATTTCAGATTAACTGAAAGTTGATTTACTTGTTTTCTTCTATTATTTGAACCCTGTGGTGATAGATGTAATGAAACTTTGGCAGAAGAGGGAGTTGATATGTTTAGAAAACAACTGAATTTCCAAACAAGTAGGTTGGGTAGCTAAGCTTTCCGTTTCACACCTCTTGGTGATGGTAAGGAACTAAGGTCAAGTAGGAGTAATAAACTAGAAGGGAAGTTCAGCTGTAAGTGGAGATTTAATGTTCCTGTTTCTTCCTGTTGTGCAAATACACAACTCAGTGTAATCCAAGATACATGTAGCGTGCTGTATAAGTGCTTCTATTGGAAATCCCTAGTGTGTGAAATACCCTTGCCCTCTGATCATTGCTTTGAATAAAGGCAGGGATTTGCACATTGAGCTGCTGAGAAATAATGTTATTTCTCAGCAGGCACTTGCCTGTGCAACATTGCACGCGACGCTGGTTTGTTACGGGATGGTGCTCTGCTTCCTTCTTATCTGGGAGCTCTATTTTATGTCACAATACAGGAACTAGGGATACAAATTCACGTAGATAGCATGTGAGACAGGAAATTATTTTTCTTGTCGCAGTGGTTATTTTGTCTAAGATCACAGTTTTGAAGTAGAACATATTTTTTAGATCTCTTGAGCTTTGTATCAATCACAAATAGATTTTCCAACAGGTCGTGGTACCTTGACGGGAGGCTGCTGTTACTGATTACTTCAGTCTGCATTGTTTTTCCTCTTGCGCTTCTTCCTAAAATTGGTAAGTAATTAAAGGAGAGAAGCGAATATTATTCTACTTTAGTAGCAATTACTATTGGAGACTTTAAAACCTTAATGGGTTATTTATTTTTTTAACTGGCAGGGGGCTGGTGATGGTGGGGATTACTTAAGCTGTTGTAGTGTGTTCTGCCTTCCAGCCCTGCCTAGTTAACCTATTACTTGGGTTGCAGTAGTATTTTGTCTGCAATACTAAAATAAAATCTTTACAGCAGAACATTAAAGAGCTGCATTTACTTACAGCATGCCATTAGTGGTAAGCCAGTTCTAATTCTGCCCTACAAAACTACATAAATGATCTGTGACAGGCAGTCGGAATGTTGTTATTCTGAGTCCTAAGCCCCAGATACCAAGCACTGTAATAGAAAACATGCCTAAAATGTAAAGCTTTAGCTGTACATTAGGATCACTTTCCTTATAAATGCTCTTTTATTTTTACTGTTATTTTACAGGCTTTCTTGGCTACACAAGTAGTTTATCATTTTTCTTTATGGTGTACTTTGCTCTTGTGGTAAGTTAAAAATCTGTGCACAGCTTATCTATTTTTTTTCTTATTGTTTGAATGTTTTCATAAGCCCTTTTTGAAATGAATTGTCTTCCCCTCTCTGCTTAACTTTTTATGTGAAATTTAGTTTTCCTTTAGTTCAGTATGTGCTTGCTTGGACAGATTACATTTGTTTTGCTGAGGCATGGAAATGTATGTGAACTTTCAAGCATATGAAAAGATTTAAAATAATTATTTTTTGGACTGGTAAATGTAACAATATTTTTGTTTTGCTGATGGTGCAGTGAAGGGAGCTGGCACATACACTTTTGTTTCCCTTCTAGTAGTGGAATGGAATTCTGTTTTCTTAGCGTCTAACTATTACTTACTGCAACTAGTGCAGAAGAAAATTTAATATACTCCAAATAAATTAAATTTACGTGTATAATGGAGTGACAGAGTTCAAAAAAAGGCAAAGAAAACTAGAACTTCATTAAGGCAGTTTACAAGATTCATTAATACGTCAATGACCTTATTCTTCTTTCCCGCTGAAAGGAAAAGTTCTTTTCTCAGAGCCATATGGGGGTTTTTGACCTTGATGTTCACCCTCTCAAGGCCCCTGTGAAGTAGATGTTTCCAAATATCAGAAGTGAGACCTGTTAGGCAGATCTAAGAGGGAAAACGTGCCTTTAAGTTGCACTATTTTTCTTTTTACGGGGAAAAAGTGTGTTAATGCACATGTGTAATATGTAGTACAACCAAGCAACTTGTGCTCTTTTCATCTAGGTACAGAAACAAGAATCTTACTTAGGAGCCTGGAAAAATGTTCCCCCTCTTCCCTGTCATTCTGGCTTGCACTGACTTGCATTTAATACCTGTTTTACAAAGGGATAAACAGAGCTGAAGGCACGTTGAGCAAACATGCCATCCAGGAGACCAAGGCAATCCATTAGGAACTAAACCATGTGATAAAACCAAACTTCAAAGCTGTCAAAACATCTCCCTTGGGTATCCCTGGGGAACTGCAGTTTGTAGGACCTTGGGAAGACCACTTCCTAAGCTGAGCACTGAGGAGCAGCCACAGCTTCTCCAGAGTTAATGAAAATTCATTTGTAATATTTATAAATTACTTTAACTTTTGACCCCTCTCCTAAAATTTGTCTTCAAAAAAAAAAGAAAAAAGAAAAAAAGAAAAAGCACTAACTATAATGCTGAAATAGGCCTTTGGCTGAAGGTAGTTGCAAGAGTTTTAAAACAAGCATTTGAAAACAGTTTTGGACTCAGAAAAGGCAAGTGTGTAAGCAAGACTTGTGTGCAGACATGTCAAGCTGGGATGATTTAAGCTAAGGTTTAGTTTTGATTCTCTGTCAAAAAAGTAGGTAGAAAGTATAAATGAAGGCTGCTGGATTTCTTATGAAATGGTAGTGTTTACATGCTTTTTGTTAAGTGACAAAGCAGCAGCCACAGTAACTCTAACTGAGGTCACCGTTTTTAAAAACCGTTACAGATATTTAAAGAAAACTAATATTCCTCACAGAATATCTTCTCCAACTTCTTCAGACACTGAAACTCAAAGGCATTAGCTGCGGTTTAGTTTTCATATCTAATGGCTTTGAAGTGGGTGATATGTGCTGTTGAAATGCTGTTTTAGTTTGCACAATGTTAATTTCTGTATAGCAGATATGTTTTAATTTGTTCCAGGAGAAAACTACGTTAGTCATATGGAAGTAATACCATTATATTTTGCATATACACCAACTCTTGTGCATTTTCAAGTGTATACCATCTGTTCAGCTTTTTGCCAGCAAGCTGCAGTTTTAGTACAGCCTGAAGGAAGGATAGGTACAACAGACAGCATGTGTCCTGGTCAGTATGGTGTACCGGGCACGCTGAGCAAAGGTCTAGAGACTACTCTTTGTGCTCTGCTGTGGGGCTTTGGCAGGGCACGTCATCTCCTTCCTGTGCTTCAGTATCTGTCTTCTTTAAAGTTAACGTACTGGTTATAGTCCTCACTTGGAAAAAAAGTGAAAACACCGAGATGAGCTGATCTGGGAGAAGCACAACTATATGTAACTGTTCACTCAAAGCCGTGTGCTGTGAGGTCCTGAGCACTTTTGTTTCTGGCTGTTGAATACTTTCCTGACTTCAATCCTAAGTGAAAGGAAATTAAATCTGATCGTTAAACTTTTTTTTTTTTTTTTTAGTTGCCTCCCCTTTTGCTGTATTGAATATTGGTGAGGAGTAAAGACAGATTTCACTTTTTTTGTGGAGACAGCCCTATTGGTAGCTTGTTCAACAAAGATGTTAATGATTCCTGATGGTATTTTTCTAAATCTCTTGTTTATGTTCCCAGAACAAAATGTGATGCAGATTGGGAACCTGCCATATGTAATGAATGATGTTATGCACAGAAATCCCCTCTTTGCTGAGTGCGGTCAGTACTGCTGGAATAAAGGGATTCCTGGTTTTCCTCCGCAGGATAGAAGAGCAACATCACAGAATATTATAAGAGTTTGAGCCTCTAACTTTGTTTCTTAGCAATGTTTTTGTTGTGGGATTTAAAATACCCTCTTTCCACTGGAACCTCTATTCAGGTTTTAGGTTTTTTCACTTAAAACCAAATGTTTGTTATACTCAAAGACAGTTTTTATATGAAATAGGCTTAAAGTTCCAGAGGAAGATTGTGCTGTCTCCACAACTGCTCGGCTAGCTGGGCTGTGCTGCCAATTTAGAAATCTGTTGCTGGGACCTCATTAGAAATACAGAGCAGACTAGTATTGGAAACCCGAACACATTTGAATAATTAAGCAGGTGGGCAAATATAATTGGAGATTTTTAAATGCACATAGTGTATTTTATTTTGCCTTCTTTTGTTTCCATTTTAATCTGTTCTTAATCTGTATTAATTTCATTTTAGAAAAAATGATTTTCAGCTTTTTAGGTTTGGCTTGGCTTGTCCTCCCTCTGCAATGTTTATATATCTATATCTTTGCTCTTTAGCTTGCAGGAAGCCCTGCCCCCACCACTGCCAGGTACGCTTTATTTTCCCCAAAGCTTGCACTTTAGCTTCATTCACCTTTTCATTGCTCAGGAAGCCTGTTCCAACCTTAGCCAGAGCTCCCACAAAGCCTTCTGCTTTGGAGCCTTCAAAGTATCTCCTTCATGTTCCTTGTCTGGGTACCTTTAAATACAGAGGTCTCCTTGTTAAAAAAGAGGCTCAGCCTCATAAATGTCTTCAGCTGGCTTCGGTTCTGGTCCTGCAGCAGCAGCAGTCTGCAGCTGTGTCTCAGCTCGTGGCTTCTCACTGCACAAATAGGGGATGAAGCAGAGGGGACCTGTGCGGCGGAGTCGTGCGTATGTACAACACAGGGCCAAGTTATATTTTAGTGTTTGGTCCTTTCCTCCTTCTCCTTTGCTGGCTTTTTGGTTGAACTTCTTGACATACTACCAGCATGTTCTTGTCCCTTCTTAGACCCTTCCTCAGATGTGTGGTTCACATTGCATAGAGGGAGGCATTTTAGCTTATCAATAAGCAGGTAAGGACAGATCTCTTGGTATAAAGCAGTGCTGGTTCAGTGTCAGAAACATAGTTGGAGGGTTTCCATTGACAATATTTTTTCACAAAGTTTGCAGGCTGCTTGTTGAGCAAGCGACTACCTAGTTCCATGCCTCGAGTTGTGAGTTGTTCTTAGGTGCACATTATTGCCACAATGGACTTGGTGTGATGTGTGCCCACAGTTTCCTTTCCCCACATTTTGTCTGGAGGTAGCATTTGTTTGCTTCCCCTGGCACTGCTGAGAAGAGGGAGCATCTAATCCTTAACTTCTGGGAAAAATAACTTGGCTGCAAGCAAAAAGTATTTTTTCTGAGCCAGGAGAAGCGCTCTCTTCCATGTTATTCTTCTTGTGAATCTGAGTCTTTAATTAAGTTTTTAATTATTTGCTCTAGGCTTCAAAAGAATTATAACCTCTGAAGCCAGACAACTACAATAGGAAATTAATTAGGGTGAGGAGAGCAATGCAACTATCATTTTAAACTAGGCTCCTGAGAAGGGAGGTAACACTTCTAATTTTAATTTCCTTTTGATTTTCAGCCCTGTTCCTTGGCAGTCCCTAAACCAGCAGGGTGCAGCTAAAGCCCCAATGACATTCGGGGACAATAATTGCATTTATTGTTTTTCGTTTGCTTTCTAGTCCAAACCATATGTTTTCTGCCTTTTAAGATTAGCCCTAGGCTCTGCTCTATCTCTGTTAAGGGCTTGCCTGCTTAGGGAAAGAGCCTGGGATAGCTAAGGCAGCAGCTCTTCTGTGTGGCAGTTGGTGTGGAGCACAGGAGGGGAGGCTGTGGTTGTATTTCAGTTGGTGTCAGAGCTCATTTGGGTGCAGCACCTCCAGACAGGCACACCGTACGGCCGCCAGCTGTGCGTAGGAAGCAGCTGTAGGGAATGGCACTGACAAGTTCTGCTTGTCAAGTCTCCTTCTTGTGGCCTGACTCTCTCCCAAGGCAAGGCTCTTAATTGACTGCGGGCCTCGCTCCCTGCTTTGGAGACCGACGGGCTGATGTTTTAGCTACATATATCTAAATTTAAACTGGTTTTTAGAGTATCATTCACAGGTTAAATATGCTGTCTTTGCAGGTTATGATAAAAAAATGGTCGATCCCCTGTCCTCTACCTCTAAATAGTGCCATAGAGACTTTACAGGTAAAGTCCATGCTCTTTTGAAGTTCTCCTAATTTTATTAGTAACTGTAATGCCTTTTTTACATTAGCACTTTCAGAATGACTTGTAATTTAAATTCCTTCTTTTCTTAATCATCACAGAAACTAAAAAGTTTCATGTCTGTGGTTTGGGCTTATTCTTTCATTATGCCGTTTTTTTGCATGCATGTCTTACAGGTTTCAAATTCGACTGGGGATTGTAAAGCGAAACTCTTTCATCTTTCAAAAGAGGTAATCTCTATTAACAATACGCAAACTTAAAGTGGGGGGGAGTGGGTTTTAAAGAATTGGGGTTTAAACTCTAGCCAGGGTAAGCTAGTCTCCTGTAAAAGTAGTTATAGGCTGTTGAAATATTTCCTATACCTATTGCCAAGTGTTACCCCGTCTCACTTTTCTTTTTTATGTGGAGGCTGGCTGTCCAAGTTAGCATTTATGAAAATATTTTGCAAATATAATCAAAGTGTAACAGATGCAGTGGTGGTCAGCCTCACGATGCAGTCAGATCAAGCCAACTTAATATGCCCTCAGCTCAAAGTCAGTGCCACTTGGCTCTATACATGCTTTTAGTTCCTTGTGAGGTAGAACAGGTTTCCTGAAACTGCCTGGACCTAACTGTAGGGTTTTTTTCTTACCTGAAGCTAATTCTTCAGACCTAATGCAATCCTATGTGTTTCGCTGGATGCCAGCTCTGGTATTTGTTAATTAAATCACGTCGCCACCCATCAAGGCTTGTAGGAGAGGAAGCGTCCTGGAGAACTCTAGTCTCTGCTGCAAGGTGAAGAGGAAGGGAAAAAGGGAAGAACAAATCTGGGACAGGCCTGTAATGTGGAATTTAGGATGGACACAGTTGCATTTGTCTGAAAAGACCAAATCTACCCCCAAGAAAAAGAGAGGGGAAAAACAAAAGAGCTCGTGCAATGTAAACATGAGACAAATGTTATCTGTAGATCAAAGAAGAAATTTTGCTTTGACCAGAAATATCTACTGTGAGATTCTGGCCTTTTGTCTGGTCTTTTGTGCTTTGAAGAATCTTGGGATTCATATCTGCTTCTTTTTCCATTTTCATTTTATCAATAGAAAGTGGCATCGTATTTTTACTGGTACAGGCCTGATTATGTCAGCACAAAAGTGTTTGTTACAGTTCAGCTTATTCCACTTGGCAATTGAAGTAAGCTCTGCTAGATGATTCATCTCTTCTGTTACAAATCTTTGGAATAATATACCACTAATTGTGTGGTTGCAACTTTAATTACATAACTATCTTAAAACTTTAGATGCCAAAGCGTGTAATATTTTCTGGATGCTGTATCCAAATTTTTGTGAAGGAGTAGTAAGAAAATAGTGAAGTCAGGATGAAGGAATCAGTAATTTGAGAGGTAGCTATGGATATTAGCATTTAGAAGACTTGTTAGAAATTTTCATGAACGATACACTTACTCTGGGACAAATCCTACTCTCTTTACCTAAGTACTTGGCCTCAATATAGCTAAAAAAGAATCTTTCGGTTGTTGGTTTATAGACAGCATGACCCCTCCTGACCATGAAATGGTGAGCCATTACCACCACTTGAAGAGACACTAGTTGAAAAGGTCCATTTTTCGTGGAATGATTCAGAAATGCCATTCTGTGTTGTGGAGCTTTATCTCAAAGCATTATTGTGGAAAGAGTTCCACCAACTTCACCACTTGGACTGAATTCATCCAGATACTTTTCCAGCCATCCGTAACAACAAACAAACCTACAAGATGTTTCTCTTCTATTTTAGAGTGCTTATGCAATACCAACTATGGCCTTCTCTTTTCTCTGCCATACCTCAGTCTTACCCATCTACTGCGAGCTCCGAAGGTAATGTATGAAAACACATGCTATATTTAAAATAATTATAGTATTTCTGTAATATTTTCCCTAAATTAATCTTCTTTTTTTTTTTATTTTCAAGTTAGTGCCACCAAACAATGCAAACTGAGTAGCTTTCATGCTTTTGGGAAATGTGCAGCTATAGTCTGTACTGGCTTTTCCTCTTACAGGAGAGAAAAGTAGCAAATATGCTTCTACCATCAATGTCAGTACATTGTCCTAGCCTGGACAATCTGGAGAAAAAAGGTCATTTGCTAAGGTACTTACTAGTTAATTTTTATTGCTGTAACTGAATTGGCATTTAGCCACGTCTGATTCAGTAGGTTATTTTGACCCAGGTTCTGTTCCTGGCTCTGAATATCTATCATCCTGTATAAATCAAAATTTTGATTTCAAAAATACTCTGGTATGTCTAAATTCCCTACAAGACAGGGACAATGTTAGTTGTCTGCATGAAAAGTGCCCTTTAATTACCAGATTAAAAATACTTTAAAAAGCCCTAAATGATAGTGACAGCACAGACTTCAGCGAATACTCTGTGGCCATAAATTAAATGGGTGCTTTCTTATGAAAGGTAAACTGCAGTTTTGTTTTTCTTTGTGTGTGTTTTTTAATGTAGACTGCTTTGTGTTCAATAGCCCACAATGCATATTAAGCAACACTAATTTTCTGGGGATTTTTTGTGTGTTCTAGTCCATCCAAAAGTAGAATGCAGAATGTAACCATCACAGGAATTGGGCTGAGTTTCCTGATTTACTTGATGTCTGCTCTGTTTGGTTACCTCACGTTTTATGGTAAGTATATTCTTCAAGTATTCTTTAGAACGAAGATAATATATGATATATGCATTCTCTCTGGAGCACTTCAGGCTTGTTTGGGCTTTAATACACTTGAATCCTCAGAAATCTTGTTCCTGGAGACTTGTAAGAATATGCCTAACACTGTGGAGTATTACAGTCTGATTGACTTCTCAGTGGGTAATGCAGCTAAACTTAGCAGGGCTTAGGCACTCAAATGCTATACAGACAAGAGACTGGTCCCTACACTGCAGCTGATGATCTGTTGATGCTGTCTAATGCTATGCAATTAGACTACTGATTGCCACTATATGTTGGACCTTGTAGTATTTTTCATTTAAAAGCTGCAAACAGATTTATTGTGGTCTGTGAGAAATTTTGACATCTGATAATAGTCTGCTCAGACAAGTCTTGAAAGGTCTGTTCTAAGGCTCTATCTTCTACCAACATTTATCACTTAATAACCCTGTGCTATTCCAGCACGTTTGATTTGTAGTCCCTAAGGAGCTCTGAGGTGGCTGCCTTTTATGAGAGGAATTTCACAGCAAGCCAGCCCTAACGTTAGGTAGGCATGAAGGTCTGCAGCATGTTTTCCCTGTCCTATGGGACATCAGCTTGGGTATGATGCATGTATGGCTTCTTTGTTTTGTTTTTGTATTTTCACAAATTAATTGGAACTAACCCTGGCTATTTCTGCTGGAAGTGGGAAATTTTTTTTTTCCCCATGAATTGTACGGTTCAGAAAAGCTTTGTTTTAAAGGACTGCACAAAGCGACTTCTTCAATATACCTTTGTTTATGTGTAATATAAAGACAAACTAGAGGACTCCAGAAAAAAAATGACAAGGAGCATAAGACAACTGGAAGGTCTGAATCGGAGAAATCACCTGTCTAGTGGAGGGCAATGACAAAAGAGTAGGGAAGGATTTAAAAATTAAAAAGGATAGGCTTTGAATTGGGGTTCCTAGCACACGCTTCTGATCTAATTTGTGTTGCAGGCAGCTCCTGAGCCAGAGTCGGTATCTGTTTGATACTTGCACTGAACCAAGGAATGCTCATTTCTTAGGGATGATGTCGACATAATGCTTGATGAAGTAAATACACCTTTTTATTTACCAAACAGAAAAGTGGCTGAGTTATGCCACTCACCCTGCCAAATTCTGCAGACATCTTAACGTTTTCATTGGCTGTAGGGTTTACATGGCGATGTGCTTCAGCACAAATCTAGTAACTTTAATGCGTTTGGATTTTTGAATACTTCTGAGTACAGTTTTTATGTTGAGTTTAACCATAGATGACTTCGCCTGTCTGGTATTCTTGCGTTTCCCAAGTACGTAGACAGATTTCAGACCCCTTAACTACACAGTGGCCCTTTTTTAAGGGTCCATCATAACCTTGGCAGAAGTAGGTGAGTGTCTGTTGCATACAGCAATTTTAGTACTCTGTCGTGTAACATCACAGTGAGATGCCTTTTCTAAGAAATGCCATTTTGCTCTGTGTATCCTGCTGTAAATCTGTGTTCTGGTGTGTTTTGCTCACGTAGTGCACACACTGTCAAATGGAATCACCTCTTCTTGGTGATCTGTCTTCTGGAGTAGTTTTGTACAAATGCTGTCATGTAAATACATCACGGTCACCTACGAGGATCCTTCTGATGTCTTCTGAAAACTCGCCCTTTTTATGAGGTGATCACATGCTAACCTGTCTTGATTGGAACGAGTAAAAATTCTTGTCAGGGACATCAAGGCAGGAAGACAAAAGTGTTCCAATTAGGATTTCCTGTCTTTTCATACTGTTACGTATTTCTTGATCGTGGGGTTGAGATAGTGTTTGACAAAGCACCAAGAATATTGGCTTTCAGCAGCTAACAATTCCATATTTTTAGGGAATTTTGCACTTTTTTCCCCCAAGTACAAGTGTACGTCTGACCATAACTGCCTGAAAGCATTCCCTTGACACTCAGAATCCCTTGAAATTTGAAAAATTATATGGGGAGTCTTGAAACCTCTAATAGCATATAGGCCCCTGTTACTGTTTCCTCACTGTCTCCCTGTGGTTTGTAGGAAAATAGGATTTTGAGTGCCACTCTGAGATTCAGCTGGCAGTGTGGGATGACCAGCTCTCTCCAGATGAAATCTCAACAAGAAGGGGGGAGGAAAAAGGGAAAAATCTAAACCATTAGTAGTCCTAGAAACCATCCCAGTTCCCCTTAGCTTGACTGTCATGATTTCTTTGGGACAAGACCCTGTCTTGACCGTGGTCTTCTAGTGATTTCTTTTGGTAACTCTTAGACTCAGGAGCCTAAAACGCTGGAACCAACAGTGGATGCCTGTAAGAGATCTCTCCCCCTTGTAAGCTGCTCCTCCTTTTTCACTTTTTGGTTGTCTTGTTAAATTAACTTATTTCTCTAAATGGATAGAATCTGTTCCCGAAACGGCAGTCTGAGAAAATGTAAAACATTTTATTTTAAATTGGAAACAAAAAAAAAAAGAGTTCCCTCTTTGAAATGAGACATGCTTCATCTTTCTGTGGTTCAGATGGTTGATTCTGTTCTCTGTGAATTTGAAACTTCATCCGACGACTGGACTTTGGTGGAAATTTTGGTCCATTCTGAAGTCCAAAAAAACCATTGAGTTAAGGTACACTGAAAAAAAAAAAAAAAACAGGATAGCAGACTACTTTCAGGGCTCTGACTTTTGCTGTTACCTTAGGAAAATTTTCACCTTAGCAGGGCAAAAGGAGGAGGATTCATCACTTTTTGCCCCACTTCTGGCTTGAACAGTACACAAGTAATGCTTGTGATGGTGTGTCCGTGGAATATGGTCCTATAGTAATTCCAGAACGGCCAGTTTTTGTAAAGCTAAAAATGCCTATGGTGGAGAGCACGTGTGATTCTTACTGCTGAGGAAACAGGGCTGTCAAGTGAAAGCCTTTGGCTTTGTTGGGTGCGTTGCCAGCACAGTCCCCTGTTATTCCCTGGGTGCTGTACGAATCCAAACCAACAGCCTTCAGGTGTCCTTCTGTTCCACTTGCCTACTCATTAGGCACAGGGGAAAAAAATCAGTCTCAATTGTCAATCATTCAGGCATGTTTTGTTGGCTTTTTTTGTAATAAGAAATATCTTTTAGAGGTGTAACTGATGCTAGTTAGCCTTCTCTATGTCATCCAGCAATATATTGCTAGCTATTGTCAGTAAGAGCACATATACTAGTGTATTTTTAAACATTTCTTTCTTCCTATAAATTAGAATGGCAGCTTTTCTTTCAAATCATGAAATTTTACCTTGCATATCGCTGAATGTTTTCTGGGGGGAAAAAAATAAAAAGGGAAATGCAATTCAGCCAATTTATCACAATTAATTTGTTTCTGGCTTCTACTTGAACCAAAAGAATCTAGGGTTGGCTGTTTCAGACACGTAGAACAAGTTTTACAGAACTGTGTCATGTCACATCATCTTTCTTTTTAATGCTTTCTCCTTTCTATTTGTATCTTCTGATAACTTGGTCTTCAGCTTGGTCTTCACCTCCAGAAGTTTTTTTTTGTTTTCTCAAGGTTATGTATCCTGGTGTATCAGTAATGCCAAAGTGACCCATTTCTGCAGCCCCCCCACCACACTGCATCAGTTACAAGCACATAGATCCATTGGAATGTAAGCTTAATACGCATTGCTAATTATTGTAGTTCTCAAATGATTAACAGAGCAATTAATTTTTCTCTTTTTCAGACAAAGTGGACTCTGAATTGCTACAAGGTTACAGCAGGTACCTGCCCCATGATCCTGTCATCATGACTGTTAAAGTAGCCATACTGTTTGCTGTGCTTTTGACAGTCCCTCTAATCCATTTCCCAGTAAGTACTCCTCGACGTTTTGAAGCTGGCATAAGCAGTGGTAACGCTAATGCTTTGCAGACTGCAGTATTTGAGTCACATCTAGTCTTGTGTATCTTATTCACTTGTCAAGTGATTGATCAAAGACCACATATTTGCATATGTTCCATGAGAGCTCCAAAATAACAGCTAACCGCTAAGCTAATTTGTGCTTTTGAGACAGGCTTCAGACTAAAACTAGCCCACAGCATTGTTTTTAATTTAGAGAATCCAGAACTTCTAAAGTTTATTTAGTTTGATTCCCCCCCCCCTTAAATTGAGTTTTGCTGACTTGGTTTTTCCTTTGTACATGCACGCACCCACGCACAAACACACTTATACTTGAAAACTCAATTTAATTGTAAATTAAAAACACATACTCACCTATTTCACCAAAAACTCTACTTGAGTTTATCAATACCGTGGTAGAACTGAAAATCCATCCAGTTATGAACGAAAAAATTGTGCATGCAAACCTCTGTATGTAGAAGCAGTGTATGGATGGCGTATCGGTTGGCAGCGCGCTGACATTTCCTACCATGCATGCTCAAAGAGACAAAGCATTAGCCCCCAGCCTTCCTTTTGTCCTTGCAAAAGAGGAGTGCTTCCTTAAGGCTCATGGCCATGGGATAAGTACTAATATTTTACTTTAATACTTTAAGTAAAGTAAGCTTTAATACTAAAGTAAAGGCTACAGGAAGACAAAACATTTAGCTATTACTGAATTTTTTGCATTTTGGTTTTTAAAATGTTCTTTCACATCTAGAGTGATGTAATTCTTAAGTTAATGAAATTGAGGTAAGATTAAAATATGTGTATATGTATGTATTTACCCATGCAATGTGTTTTTTTTCATACTGTGTAGGCAAGGAAAGCTGTATTGATGGTCTTTTTCTCCCATCTTCCTGTGTCGTGGATTTGCCATATCCTTGTCACTTTAACACTGAATACAATTGTTGTTCTGTTTGCAATGTACGTGCCAGACATAAAAAATGTATTTGGAGTAGTTGGTAAGTTGTTTTCGTTGTTGGGTTGGTTTTTTTAAACTTTTCTTAAAAAAAATTCAGTATTATTCTTGCTCTAAGTAAAATCTTGTTTTCTGTTTTTTAAAGGTTCAACCACATCAACATGTTTGCTTTTTGTATATCCTGGACTATTTTATCTTAAACTTAGCAGAGAGGACTTTTTATCACCACAGAAAATTGGGGTATGCTTTTTATTCATGTGTGCTAATTAGAATTAAACAGGCTCATTTTAGATGCCTCTTGATACACTGTAGAGCACGGAATCCAAGGGACGGAGTTCCTGTTTTCATTCCAGTTTGCAAAAACTGTGAGCATTTCCTTTCATCCTTCGTGATAGAGCTCGTCTTTCTGAAACTCCTCCTTCACAAGAGATTTTTGAGTAGCAGTGTGCCCGTGTGCCAGACTATTGATCTGAATACATGCTTTTTCCCATAGATTTCAGATGTTGATTTTTTAATCCAATTTCTCCTCAGTTTTTACGCATTACTCTCATGTCTGGGCAGCTGGGACGAATCCAAACTGCATTTAAGTGAATAATTTTTTATGCTTGTTTTCTATGTAAGCCTTCTGAAAAACATCTTTTTTTTTTTCTTTTTTCCCCTCCATGTTTTCCCTTTTGGTGTAGTAGGTTTAGCTCTAGTTAGAATTCATGCAGCAGCCTGCTTTTTGCACTGGAACTGTTTGTCTGCATTTTAACCACTCCATGACGGTGGCTAAAATCCTGACAAACTGCTTATGTGTATTTCTGCCATTGTTAAGATTCATAGGGCTGCTCATGTATTGACAAAATAGGGAATCTGAAAGAAAATCTAATCATGATGTTCTGTCACCATTTGAAGTCGTAACTAGATCAAACAGATTTGGGGCCTTGTTATAAATCAGCAATCTACTGTCTCTTGAACTGTGGTTTTTTTATAATCTGGTTGTTCAAAAATGCAAAGAATTCATTGTTACTTAAATTATATTTTGAGTAAAATAGAAATTCAATTTCTTAATTCATTCAGAGTTGTAAAGGGCAAATGATGTTGGGTTTTTTTTCCCAAATGGAAGACACTATTGAAACCTGTCCTTACAGGTTTTTCCATCATTAGTTATAAGCCTTAGAAATGTGAAATGCTTCCTTCGGTAAAACGCTAATTTTTGATTTTCTTTCTTCACAGGCATGTGCATTGGTTATTTTTGGCATTTGTGTTGGCCTTCTTAGTTTAGTTGTAATAATTTTCAATTGGATTAATCAGTAACAGCCTGTTGTCACTGCCTGAACTGGGCTTCAGAGGGACAGCAAGAACCAGAGACGTGTCAAAGCTCCTGAAAAGAATGCTGGACATCCTAAAGGAAACACTGACCAAAGCTGTCTTTGGAAGAAATAATGCTCTATTTTAACTGCATTAGTGATGTTCCTCCTTCAGTTATTGGACAATTAGTCTTTGCCATTCTAAAGCATTACTTTTTAATGATGTAATTAAGACAGGTAAAATGATCTCTTGAGAATTTTGCAATGCAAAAATGTTTTAGTGGATGTGGTGAACAAAAGCAGAAGCTTGAAATAACTTCTGTTTTAAAGACGGTGAGACAGATATTACATCAATTATGATGTGCATATCATGATGTGTGCATTTAGGATAATGCATACGTTATCCTAACCACGGGGGACTTATGTTGCTTGAATAATTTCCAAAAATTCAGCCAGTTCATGTTAAGAACTTCCTGATTCCAAATGTTTACCCTAATTTATCCTAACATGGATAAAGTTTAATGGGCACATCATGATAATACTTGTTAATTATGTGGGGTTTTTAATACAGTTTTTATACCTCAGTGTACTTGAACCATACTGAAGTAATTTTTAAATTAGAAGGCTTTGCCCATCTAGCACAATAGCATTTAGTAGCATTAAGAAGTGTTTCCATTTTGCAGTTAATAATAGACATTTTTCAATTAATACCTTTTTTTAAATATTATTCAGTGTACCTCAGTATTCCCCCCAGTGAAAGACTTTTTTTTCTTTTTCTCTCTTCTTCCCATTTTTACAATTGTTTCGTATTTGAAATAGAGTGTTTCTAGATTTTGTGTATTTTTGTGTGTCAGAGAAGGTTTGTGCTTGAAAGGTAAAATTCTGTCTCTGTTGAAGACAAATTTTACATTTATGGAACCCTAATTTTACCTTAGATTTCTAAACTTCCGTGTACCCTTTTATAATTCCCCCCCGCCTTTTTTTTTTCCCTAAATGAAATGTTAAGGCAATTTTCAACACCAGCTGGGCTCTTTTAAGTATGTTATCAAGTGCCTACTGTGGAAGTTCTCATTAGTAGAATGAAAGCAGTGGCTGGAAATGGTGAGGTTTTTAAAATTTGTTTCTGTCGGATGGAGTGTGATGTCTTTAAAATAGCCTAATCTCTTCAGAGACTTTGTGCCTGAAGGAAGCTAAGCCTCCACAGAAGTGGCTTGTATAAAATTAAGAAATTAGACCTCAGCATCAAATGGCAAGATTTAGAGATTGGGAAAGTTCTTCATTATTTCCAGATGCAATATTTCTTTTAATTTAACTTAGCACTTTTACATCAGAGAAGTGGAGTAAGACACAAGTGAAAGATAGCAAAGTAATGAAAGCAGCTATTAAGTGACATTTAAATACATTTAAATGTCCCAAAAGTGCACAGTTAGCAAATTACTTGACTACTTTTAGAAAGTCCTGCTGAGACTGTTCTGTTAATATGTTGACTTATGTTTTTTCAGTTGAGATAGGGGAGATGCCCCAGAGCCTGGCATTTCTAATTTCTTAGCAGAGGGTCTGTGCTATTAACCTTTTTAATTGTGTCACATTGGATTTGGAAAACGCTGATTGATGTGCTAACTTGAACATAACCCTGATTGAATGGACTTGGTCCTCACCTGTCTAATAGGGAGGAAGAGAAAATAGCAGAGTTGGAATCACTACCTCCTGTGCTGACAAAATTTCTCATGCCAACAGATCACTAGGCTCCCTCAGGATCCATAGATACTTCTCTTTTTTTGATAGATGGCCTGAAGGCACCCAGGTGGTGTAGCTTGATACTACTTCAGAAATCCTTTTTGCCTGGAGAATACTATTCTGCTTATGAGGTTAATATAGATATATATGGTGATGCCTGGGAACCAACTCAGAATTTTTGGTAGGATCCCCACTGTGCAGGAATTGGTACGCTATCTTCTGGAAAAGACTGCAGTTACTTTTATCATAAAGTTTCTAGCAGAGGTTTCACGATGCAAGGTGAGCCATCTAACAGTAATTCAGTCACAGAAACAGCACACACTCTTGGCCAGGAGTTCACGACTACTCCTGTGGCACTGGTCAGCCTGTTTAATTAGCAGAAAACCACCACGACTGAGGGATGTGACACGTTATCTGCCAAAAAAAAAATGAACTGAGTGGGCTCACCTAGGGGATGAGAAAAGTGAGGGGGTGGTGGGAGTGGGACCGCCGTTCTGAGCAGCAGCAGCCATTGGGTTGCACATTTTTTTCTCATAAAACCTCACGCTTTGCCCAGCGGTTTCGCTTCAGCCGGTTGAAGTGTGTGTGTGCACACACAGAGGATGTCTCTGGCCACCTTTGCTCAGGGCACTGATCAGACTTTCTCAACAGTGTGTGAGTATCAATGGGGCAGGCTCCCCATCTTGCCTTTATTCTTGTGGTTCTCCCACCTGCTCCAGCTCCTGATACCCAGCTGTAGCTGCCGTCCTGCCCGTGGCTGCCCTTGAATCTGGTGTTTCACAGGCTTCGTTAACACTACAGCGATTCAGCCACTCGAGGTGGATCTCTAGCAGTAGCACAAAAAGCTGAATGTTTACCTTATAAAAGTGTGCCTTGAGAAAGCAATGACACCAGTACAACGGGAAATTATTTTCAGATCTGACTGAACCAAAACTTCTTAGGAGAACGGGAGACCTTACACTCATGTGAATGAACTATAGGGCTTTTTCAGACACTAGGATTTAGAAGGAATATTTATTAGAAATTTTATGGAAATTGTTTCTCATTCATCATACAGTCTTGTAGCATGTGTTGAGTAATATTTGTAATCACTGCAGTCAATTTTTTAAATTCTAACCAGCAAGACTTAACACTGAAGACTTAGATTATCTGTGAAGGTGCAGAGAGTTGGCAAAGTTTTGCTAAGCTTTTGCTCTTTCTTCCTCCCCCTGACAAAACTGTCTTGCCATGCACTGTAATGCTCTGTTTGTACACAGGCGGTTGGGTTTGTGTACACCGTCCTAAAAAACATGACAAAAATACCTGAAATACGATGTTAATTTTACAGTTGATTCCTGTAATGCTACAGAAATCACTACGTTATTGTTTTTAATCCCTGAGTATTTTCCTAACCAGCCTGGCTATTAACTAACTGTCCTAATAGGTAAGCTTTGGAATGGTGAATAGCAATGTATGAAGTTAATACTCTGGTGAGGATGAATGGAAGCAATTCACACCTCTGCTGGAGCTCTGTTACATTTTGGCTGCGGTGCAGACAGGATAGCAGCACGGGGGTTACGGGATGTGTGTTATCTTTCATCTGAAAAAGACTTAGAAATACTGCTGCTTTAAGTTCCTATGAAACGTTAACTTAAAATACGAAGAGAGGGAGAGGGTCATAAAGAAAAAAGAACTTCTATTCCCAAATTTAGGAAAAGGTGTGAGTGCTTCCCACAATGAAGAGCAGAATAAGGACACTGTTTTTATCCTTCGCCTCTCCCACAGACTGTTTGTTGTGTTTGTGTAAAGGTTTCACAACAATTGTGCACCAGCATGAATTTTTTGAGCAAAACAGGCCTCCATCTGGAACACTCTGCTCACTCATGTGTTGCTAAATGTATTTTTTCATTATTCTTGTGTACGTTTTTTTTTCCTCCCCCTGAATTTCCAGATTTATAAATTTCAGCGGTTCTGCTTTATTTATTACCTGTAGTTAGCGTTTTCCAACCTTCTTTTCTGAGGACTTGAATGGATGAAAGGGCCTGCAGCATTTCTGAACTCAACTTGGACAGGTTCCCTTTCCCCAGCTGAACACACACAACAATGTAAAAGATGAAAATTAATTGGTAGCCTTTGGTTTGTTTTCTCTCGTTCTCGGCTTTCCATTCCTTGTCCATTTGAAGGCTGCTTGAATTTCAGATGGGCTGTGGAAAGCTGGGTGTGGAAACAGCATTGTAGGAAGGAGTGCTGCAAAACAAAAGCACTCCTAACCTGCCTGTGTATTGTGGCTAATGCTCACGTTTCATTCCCGTGTTTCTAGGCAGTTTGTAACTTAATATATTGATTTTCATGGCAATAAGTTTGTTTAAAATTTAAAATTGTTTAAACTCAGACAGATTTCTTGTTTGGAGTTCTCCCTGCCTCAGACTTCCTGTGGAAAAGCTGGGGGGGGCGGGGGGGGAGGGGGAACCAAAATCCAGAAAATAAAGACCAGTTTTTTGTGTTAACTCCTGCGGTTGTCATCTCTGAACTGTGTGTGAGGTGCCTGCACAGTGAGGTAAGGCAGCGTTGTCGTCCCTGCAGCCGGTTCCTGGCGTGCAGTGGTGCTGCCAGCCCCAGCTCCGCCTGTAGCATCACTTTCCCCAGGGAAGGCTGGGGAAAACAATCTCAAAAATCATTCCCGGATTGGTGGTGGTAGCACCTTTATGTGCTTTTGTGTGTTCTCCTTCACCTGGGTAGCTGCGTGTGACCTCCCCTCCCTCTGCAGGCGGTGTGCTGCAGCACCCAGCTTGAAACGGGTGCGAGATGTGGTCGGGGAAGCTGTTAGGAACTGCTCCTCCCTGACCTGTCTCCTCTCAGTGCTTGATCCTGCTCTTTGAACTGCGCTCTCCAAAGCACAAAGGATGCAGAAAATAGCTTGTCCCGCAAGGTCTGCAGTTGATGTCCTCTCAAGTCGTGGTTTCATTGATGGTGAGCCCTCCTCTTCTGCACTGATTGCTCCCCTCTGTAAAGCAGGAGGGTGAGGGTGACAGAGGCTGCCCAGGGAGGGTGTGGAGTCCCCTTCTCTGGAGATCTTCAAGCTCCCCCTGGATGCTCCTGAGTGATGTGCTCTGGGCAACCCTGCTTTGGCAGGGGAGTTGGGCTGGATGGTCTCTAGAAGGTCCCTTCCAACTGTTACAATTCCGTGATTCCATGATAGATTAATTAATGCTTTTTATTGTTCACAATTTGGTTTTCTTTCTCCAGATGCCTAAATTAATGTTTGATCCTTTGGGCCTAGGCTTTGAAGAACCTGGGCTGTGGGACAGAATCAGGTTCATGTTGGTGGGTACCAAAGGCAGATGGAGAGATGGTCTGAGGAGGTTAACCTGTGTGTGTATGGCCTTGGGGTGAACTTCTGAAGTAACATAAACCTTCTCCTCCTCTTGGTCTGTTTTAATGGCCGGTCATTGAGTGGTCATTGGAGGCTGCCTCACCGCTCAGCTTTGGATAGTTGTGCAGGGCCATCTCCACTATTGCTCACTGACAGGGTGCTGAGCCAGTTCTTCAGGGCTTGAAGTTCAACAGTACGGCCAGCGAAATCACCTGTGGTAGGTAAGAGACGCAGATGGAAGGTCTGTCTGCAGGTGACTTTGCTCCAACAGTGAGAGCTGTCACCAGAAAGCATCCGAGGCTCAACACTTCCATGGTTGATCTCACTCTCTGCCCAGGCTCTAGAGGTGGGTTTTGGCTTTCACTGCCCTTTTGATGTTGTCTATGTCTTTGAGTGCAGGGTCACGGTGTGTATTTTTCTCCACAAAGATATGTGGGATTTACACCCCAAACATTGCTGCATCTTCAGGATGACGGTCCCTTTACCCGTCCTGGATGCATGCTCATCCAGGAGCAATGCAGCACAGCGAGGTCCTGCTCTCCCACTGCGACTTGCCAGGCATTTGTAGTAAGGAAAGGTGGAGCAAGGAGCTAAAAGCCCTGTTACTACAGTATCACAGACTCACATGGGGTTGGAAGGGACCTCAGGAGATCATCTAGTCCAACCCCCCTGCCAAAGCAGGTCCACCCAGAGCAGGTCCCACAGGAACCTGTCCAGGCGGGTTTGAATGTCTCCAGAGAAGGAGAGAGACTCCACCACCTCCCTGGGCAGCCTCTTCCAGGGCTCTGCCACCCTCACAGGAAAGAAGTTCCTCCTCATGTTTAGGTGGAACTACTTAGATTCAAGTTTGTGCCCATTTCCTCTTGTCCTATCCCTGGGCACCACATTCATTGTATCAATGTATCATTGTATCAATGAATGTTTATCCATAAACTCTGTTTTGGGTTTGGTGGGTGCTGAGGCCACCAGAGCCGTTCCCCTGGCCAGCTGTGACTGCAGCACATCCTGCCCCAAGGGTCAGGCAGGGTTGGAGGTGGCAATGCGTAAGAACAGCCTCAGCTGTTACACAAGCAATGACACCGTCAAGGGTGACCAGGCTTCTTGCACAATGTGATGACCAGATGGGCTTAGGGAGAAAGGTCTGTGTCCCAGGGAAGGGCATTGCACAAGGAGGGGCACCCCGTGAGGACCATGATGCTCCCTGGCAGCTGTGGTGGGACAGGAAGCTGTGCAGATATGGTCATTTTTAATGTTCGTCAGCACATCGCTGCTGGAAGGGGCTCCAAAATCGTTGCTGAAATGGTACAGTTTTCCTTTTGGTATTTGCTGGCACGGTTTCCGCTGCTGTTTACAAGTTGTTTCTCCTGGAACCGTCTGAACAACGGGAACATTCGCCTGGTCCTTTTCCAGAGGGAGATTACTCAAACGATGGTGGGGAGAGACGTTGTCTCGGCCCAGCTGCCAAATGTTAGTCAAAGAGGTCTCTCTTGCCGTGCCTTAATCTGACAGTTCAATTTGGAGGGTTCGGGAAGCCAAGGAATGATATTTCCCCAGGGCATGCAAAGCCTAAGGCCTGGAGATACATGGAAACCACGGGCAGGTTTGTGGTTTTTTATTTTTTTCCTTTCCCCACAAATTCTGAAAGTTGATATTCGACCTTCTTCCAGCCGCTGAAGCTGTTCCACCAAGGGCAGGGGGCCTCGCGTTTGCCACGTCTTGTCCAAACGAGGCCTTTTCCCTGGGAGCAGAGGTGTCGCCGCACCTTCTCAAAGGGGCTGCAAAGGGGGAAATGTTTGGCTTGAGCAGTTCCCCGGCCGCCCCTCGCCCCCGCTGTGGGGGTGGAACACAAACACGAGGGCTTTTAGGGGTCCCCAGGAGAGACCCCAGTGAAATTCCTTGCTTTGACACGAACCTTAGTGCTGAGAAGCTGTCTGTTTTTTAAAAAGCGTAGTGCTAAATGCTAGGCCTGTTCCCCAGGCCTAAGGGACCTGCACGTGCATCGGTGTTTCGGCAGCTCAGCGTTGCCCACCCTGGGGCTCAGGGGAAGGCTGCAGGGAGATGCCAAACGCCCGTTTTGAGGGGCTTTGGGGTTTTTGGTGTACATTCTAGCTAGAACTGTCCTTCTGGAACTGAGGAGCCCAGAACTGGACCCAGTGCTCCAGATGGGGCCTCCCCAGGGCAGAGTAAGAGGGGCAGGATGACCTCCCTCCACCTGCTGGTCCCACTCTTCCTGATGCCCCCCAGGATGCCATTGGCCTTCTTGGCCACCAGGGCCCATAGCTGGCTCATGGGCATCCTGTTGTCCACCAGGACTCCCGGGTCTTTCTCCTCAGAGCTGCTCTCCAGCAGGTCCCCCCCAGCCTGCATTGTTGCAGGGGGTTATTCCTCCCCAGGTGCAACACCCTTTGCTTGCCTTTGTTTAACTTCATCAGGTTCCTCTCTGCCCAACTCTCCAGCCTGTCCAGGTCTCACTGGATGGTGGCACAGCCTTCTGGTGTGTCAGCCACCCCTCCCAGTTTTGTATCATCAGCAGACTTGCTGAGGGTACACTCCATCCCTTCATCCAGGTCATTGATGACTATATTGAAGAGGACTGGACCCAGTACTGACCCCTGGGGAACACCACTTGTTACACCTCCAACTAGATTCTGTGCCACTAGTCATGACCCTCTGAGCTCTGTTTCTGATGGTTGCCTCCTACTTGATCTTGGCCTTGGGACCTGTGTGGGGCTCAGGGCCAGAATGGCAAGAGCAGAAGGGACTGGGGCCAGTACCCAAGGCAGCTTTGCAGCTGCTCACCCTGGGCAAGGGGTCTCAGAGCAAGGTAAACCTTATTTCTAACATATTTGCCATGCAGTTAATGTTAGTTGCTGCGCACAGTGATAAGCAAAATTTAGCTTGAAATGGGGCCATTGCAGCAAATGTTTTGATGCTTCCCCACCCAGGCTGATCCTTCCAAAGACCTAACTTTTCTAATTTAATTGGAGCTGCAGAAATGCCCGGGTTGCTGGAAGAATTTTTTAAATTACCTCAGGAAGCAGCGAGTGTCGTTATCAGGAGCTGCTGAGCAAACACACAATTTAATAGGGCAGCACCGGCTCTTTTTCACTTCTATTATCTGCAAATAAAGGTTGAAACACAAGGAGTGGGGAGAGAGGCATTTGCTGAACCTGCATTATCTATTTTTACTCCCTGGCTCCATAATGTTCCTAGAATATTTTTTTTTTAAGTGCACAGCAGGGGAGGGAAAAAAAATAGTGCTGATGGCATCTCTGCTATCCCCATTGTGCGGTGGGGAAGGAGGGCAGCTGCGTTGCTGACCTGTCATCTGCACCGACCCGCATTCCAGGTACAGGGGGGCCATTTGCTCCTCCGGAGCTCGTTGGACAAAATGGCCCCTGGGGGTTTATATATAGACCCTGCCCCCCTGCCAAGTTGTCTTAAATTCTTGTAAGCTGAATGAAAGTTGGGGGGTGGGGGGAGAATCAGCTTGAAAAATAGAGCTGCTAATCTGCCGGTGTCTCAGGGAGAGCCTGCTGGGATGTCCCGTCCCCCACCACCCACCCACCCAGGGCTTGGAGCATCCATGGACATCCCGCTGGGAGGGGGAAGCAGGTGGTGACCCCTGTGCTGGCCTGGGGCTGTGGGGTGCTTCCTGGGCTGCCGTGGCCACCGCCGGGGTGCCAGGGGCTTGGAGGATGGGGGGAAGGTTGGGAGGAGTATTTATAGCTCGTCCCAGCACTGGGTCTGGTGGGGGGTGAAAGGCACAAGTGTTCAGAGCAGCTCCCCAGGGATGGGGAGCACACGTGTCCCAGTAGAAAGGCCAGAGGGTCTGTGGTGTGGTCCCCCCACTGCACCAGGGCAAGGCCCCAGGACCTCCTTCCACGTCCCACGCCAACCAGCTGCCCTGAGATGGTTTTGGGGACGGTTTGCCTCAGGTTGCGTTTCTCTGGTTCCGCCCCCAAAAAAACCCCTCAGCAAAACAAAGGTTGTTTTGAGGTAGGAAAATGTTGTCCTTGC